CAGGTTTTCAAGCACTGTAATCCGATCAGATATTGCTGCGGCGAACCTATGCGTACACTCCTCTTCCCCCAATCTGTTCAGGTGAAACAGCCTAGAGTGGCCACTGTAGAGACGGGGGATTTCAAGTGAACTCACAGGGTCGCTATAACCGATCTATGGTTAGTGCCACAGACTCGGCACTCCTGTAAACCCTGCAGTTCTGAAGGATCCTCCAGCGAGTGTTAACAAGGATGTGCTCGATCTCCTTGGCCATAATACCCGTTTTTCTGTCCAGTGATGCGGGTTGGAGCGTTTGTACCAGGAGCCAGAAATCATCTTGGGACCTAACAAAGTCCTGGAAAGGAGGCTGTTCTCGCTTCCGATATCAACTCCGAGCCATGAGGACCAACAGGTATCTCATAGCTCGACCACATCGGATATTGAAGTCGACCAGTGCAATGTGAATGTCTAGCCTGGGCAATTGTCTACCACAGATCCATTATTTGTTTTCTACTGTATTCCTTTATGATCATACATTTGAATTATAAATTTGAATTCTATGCATTTATTTTACAAATGTTATTTTCGTTATCATAACCTTGATTGATTGTTAAAAATCTAACGTTTCTGCCTCTTTACATTGATTGCCCATGTCGGAACAATACACAATGTACACAATGTAAATTATCCGCACACTTACCTGTAAGCCGTTGCCATGGCAGGACCTAGTAATTTCTGTCGCGGTGTGACATGGGGTTAGTTGAATACTTTAATCTAAATATTTATTTCTTATGTATCTTTAAATAACTATGAAATATGTTGTGTTGATTTTATCAAGAAAGGTAAGTGTTAAATTAAATATTTTTATGGTAGGTATGGGTGTAGTCTTACACCACCTCTTTCTTTCTATCTGTAGTATTTCTCTGCTGTCTTGAAGTGCACTTATTGTTACTCTAATAGCCCCACTGATGGCAAGCAATAGTTCGGTATGCAAAAATAATTATACATTAACTGGCTTTATTAAATAAACAGTATGGCATGACATGTGGCAATATACAATTGCCCAAATAAATGGTGATGTTATGAATATTCAACTTTATATTCGTCGGAGGCAAGGTGGGCAGGAGCTTGGGCCACTGGCATAACGAGGCGAGATATCGACGGGGCGAAGTACCACGGGTCGAAGTACCACGGGGCGCCCGACTTGGTATCTGCTAAGCCCTCTGCTGTGCTCTCTGGTCGCCGTCTCTCTCCTAAGTGCCGGCTCGCAGGGTCCAGCACTAAGTCGAAGGCAGGCGTGGTGTGAGGAACGGTGGCGGAGACTGGTCGTTCAGGGGTACTTTCGGCGGTTCGCTCGTTCGCTCTCGCGAGTGGTGGTGCGTGGACGGTTCAGCGGCGAAACACGGGCACTTTTGGAAAAAAATATAGGGGCCAGGCCGACCTTTTGCTTCATCTATGCCGGCCTCTTATTAATGGAATTAAAGTGCCCTAAATGCGACGGCATTTGCCGCATGGATGAAATTATATTTTAATTCGTGTGACAAAACACACACACACACACACTAAAGGAAAGTTAGATGCAATTTCAAGGAATCACTTTTTAAGAACATCTGATTTGATAACAGTAAGCTCGATTTTGAAACCAATTTAAAATTTGTCAATTTGTATTTGAGAGAGGTTTTCTTACGAATCTGCACGGATCAAATTTAATTGACCAAACAAGACTATTTGCGATTGGGCGAGCTTCTGCTTTCGGTTTTCGTTATTTTTTTGCATGATAACCACATTTTGTTATATTGTTTGAAAATTTGTATTGTTTATCGGATATCGAGTTTATACGCATTGCGTGTTGCGGTTGTTTACTTTAGCTGTATTTTATTCATTTTCCGTCGGATGAAGTTTGGCTCGTCTTTCTGATTATACGGCCTTTGTTGTTTTCGGGACATAAAGCTTGATTCATCTTTCAATAGATTACACTTTTTAACGTTTTTTAAATGGTATTTATTTTCTTCCATTTACAGGTTGATATTGACATCGTACCATCATCCCCACCCCCCTCCTCCCCCCTTTTGAGCTTCGTGAACTCGATTTATACCCTCTCCCCAGCATCTCCATTTCTATCTCGCACTGCCGACTGGTTTTGTCTGGGGGGAGGAGGACTGGAAAGGCCCACCTTCCCCGAGCCTCCCATTAACTCCAGGGGGCTAATATATATTATATATATATATATATATATATATATATATATATATATATATAATATATATATATATATGTATATATATATATATATATATATATATATATATATATATATATATGTATATATATATATGTATGTGTGTGTGTGTGTGTGTGTGTGTGTGTGTGTGTGTGTGTGTGTGTGTGTGTGTGTGTTTATTTCAATTTATGGACGAAGTCCGAAGACCATTTGTTGTTTAAACCAGTTATCGTTCTGTCAGTTCTGCCCAAACGCATTATCATTTAATTTAGACTCCAACGAACATTCATTAACAGCCAGATATTGCAAAAAAAAAAAAAAAAAAAATCAAAAGTCAGTGACTGATATTTTGTTTTACACAACTTTTTATTTACTCTTTTTCTTCAGTTAGGGTAAAACTACGTTTTTTATGGTTTTTAAATAAACGAAAATTGCGTGATAGGGGAGACTTTTGAAAATTTACTGTTTTTTAGACCTGTCAATTTTAGGTGAACAGTAAAGTAATTTCTCGAAATACTAATTGCCTTTAGATATGGAGAAGCGGCAGTTTTCAAATATTGCATGAAGATTCTCCGGTAAGCGCCCCCCCCCAAAAAAAAAAAAAAAAAAAAATCACAGAATTCCACAAAAATCCAGATTAATCCATAGGTACAACCTATCAGTTCACGTGTGTGTATTACAGCTATCTATATACATAACAGGACAAAACTAGAAGCAGGCAATAGGGTCACTGATACAATAAAGGTATTCACGCTTGAATAATTGCATTAAAGTCACCTCTTTCTCGAGTTCACTAGTGACGTCCGTGTTTCCTTATCTCGCATTGCCAATGAATCCTTTAAAAAATTCCTGGATCCGGATCAGGATCACCACCAAAGTTAATGGCATCTAAGTTGGGTTAAGACAGACCTGGTAAAAGTATCTTTTAAAAACTTTTTGTTATCATACACGGTTCGGAGTATGATTCAAATTACCACCAAAATTTAATGGCATCTAAGTTAAGCTAAGACACACCCCTGGCAAAAAGGAAATGAAAATCTGTTCGTAACTTTTTGAGTTATCCTTCTATCCAAAAAACAAACAAACGAGCAAACTAAGCAACGCTACCAAAAAAACAACAACCTCTTTGGCGAAGGTAAATATGTGTATGATTTACTCTTTGCTTCAGGATATAGGAAAGCTACAACTATGCTCCATGTATTACGTTCCTTACTATGTCTAGAAAGTGCAGTGCCATTAAACATCGCCTTTGATCATCAACTTTGCTTATTGTGAGTTGGACTGATTTTAAAATCACTTTCAATCTCCAGTGGTTTAGGTATATGAGGAAAGTCCGTAGATGAATAGACTCTAGTCATTAAACATTTAAGTCACTGATGTTCATTCTCAGCTGCGTCACTGGCGGATTGCATCGTACATTATTCTAAAAGATTTATTTATACATACATATAACATGCCTTACATCCACATATATGTAAGACCCGCATAAAAGTAACTGACCAAGAACAGGTAAATAAAAGTTTCATGTTACAACAAAGAACTTTATATATAAAAATTTACAATGCTTAAGCCACTCTACAATGCAATTGCACCATCCTGTTAACGCACCAATTATTTATCTTTGGCAAACTTCATAAAGATTCAAATCCAGCTCGATGTGAAATTATAAACTCAACTGTCTTACCTTACAAAGGGGGAAACTTAATCAACCATGTAAATTACGTGCTTTCCGGATGAGTAAACTTTTGAGAAAAGAACAAAGGGAGGGAAGTGTATTACAGAGGCAAACGGATCGGGAAGAGAGGAAGACGGGTGCTTGGACAACCTCTGGGGTTTTGGTTCTTATTTCTAGTTTCTTTGTTGATTTTTGTTGTCATTTTTTGTGGAGGGTAAGGTTCATAGCATATATTGGAATGTCTGATTTATATTAAGGCTTTTTTAAGCTACTGAACAATCATTTTTCACAGTCAATAGAATTAGAATGTAATACTGATATTTAAATGCAATCTGAATATTCCTAAAATAAGCATTTCACGAACAAAAGAGCCGACTGTATCGAAACTAGAGATAATACTTTCGGTTCAATATTTGCTATGAAATAAATGCAATGACTCCATGCACAAAAGATTCACAAAATTCAGCTTTTTGGGAAAAAATATTTTGATCTGTTCTACTTTAGCATTGATCTGATAAACGTAATGTGAATTTCTAAATTCATTTTATAGATATCCAAAGGATCTTTTAATCAGTAAAAGTAAACACAGTCGAAACATCATGCAGAATAACTGCTCTACAATGCGACACATTGCATGATTGTGTAGAATACAGCGGAGTCCTTCACATTGCTTTATAACAAGCATATTGGTGTAAAGTCCAGTAAATGCTATTACGGTCTGCTCAGGAATATAAAACTAAATACAGTCAACCATAAGTATATAAACTTCAGACAACATTCACTCAGTTTACAATAAAATGCACCTTATTACAATGGTGTGTACATAAAAGCTGATTTCAGCACATAAAACCACTGGCATTTAACCCAAAATTTTCGTTACAGAGCACGTAATAATAATAATATATTACAGTACTGTCTCTTACGAACTTTTTTTGCCAGCATGTATTAGAATTAGTATCACTTCTGTCTTATAGAATCTCATGTCACTATATACAGCAGTTGTACTTGAAATATCCTGCATCTTCTGCTTATTATATACCCCTAAAATTTAATCACATCAATGAGAAATGACATGAGAGTGACTCATGTTTTACTTAGATGACACCACTGCTCTCGAAATGTTTC